CCCCATTGTGTCCCTGAAACCTAGGCTATCATCTCCATCCTTTCTTTTCTCACCATGCTTGGCTTTCGTAAGACTAATGATGCTTCTAAGCATAACATTGGTCCCTTCTGTTTCTCCCTCATTGATTGGACAGCCAGCTTCAGGTAAACATTTATCCTCACTGCCTAGAACAGTGACCCTAGTTGGTGTTCTAATATTTGTTGGATATATGCCTTTTCAGCTCACATACAATCTCTCCCCCATCTTCAGGAAATAATCATCTCCTTTACTTTTCCCTTTCCTCCCTTCAGAATTGAGAAATCTCTGCTTTAAACGCAGGAAGGCAGCACGCATACAACGGATTTAACACGTTTTCCTAGTAAGACCCCCAGGGTTTCTCAGTGGGGTCACTTTGGGTAGTTTGGTAGAACAACTATTTGTTGCACGGGACCATCCCATGCCTAGTATCTATTTAACGTCCCTGGTCCCTATACACCAGTAGTATTTCCAAATCATTGAGGGATTCTAAAATACAGCAACAAACATTTCCAAACACCCCATAGCTGTTGGTACAGCTGTAACTGGAAATCACAGAACTTTTAATCCTTGGACATTTCTTAAGTATAACAAGCACTTAAGAAGAGATAATTATTTAAAATTCAGTAGTTAGGTCAGCTCCCACCCCCATTCCCTTGGTCCCAATCACCATTCTTGTCAAGACTGCTGATATTCAAAAGCAAAAGAAAAGGGAGAAAACATGTTTGTGTGTGTGTTGATGTTACTAATCAGCTAGGTATTGCAAAAACAAATTTTGATGCATAGTTCCTATTTTCTTTTGCAGGGGAGATAGACTCAATGAGGCATCAAAAGTAGAAAAGGTTGGAAGTATTAGAAGGATTTTTCTGGCACTGGGCTCGGATTCTAATAGATTAATCCCAGATTCACTCTTTCCAAGGACAATCAAGAGGGAAAGCCCCCCAGGCACATACATCTGATAGAGGTCAATTCTGAGAGGACTCCTTAGGGTTATGGTAGCAGAGCATATAAACCTCATATTATCTTACTGCCCTGAACCATCAGAGCTGGAGAAAGATCGTTAGATATTTTCAGTGCTCCTGATCAATATTTAGCTCATTATGGTTATCTGTGATTGTAACAAGTAAATTCACTGGTGTGAGACATTTTATTGACTTGAAAAGAAGTTAACAGATGTACTTGGTCCACTGATGAGCTCACATAGCAATACATAATGCCTCCTACCAGGCTTCAAGGCTAGGTAGGAACCCAGATAAGGGTTATCTTCACCCATATTCAGCCCGAGGCCTGCCTCTGCCTTTTTGCCACTGGTAATAGGAAGAAAAAAAAAAAAAGGCAAGGACAGCTGAGCTTAGCATATATTCACTCAATTTCATGACACACACACACACACACACACACACACTTTTTTTTTTTTTCAAGATTTATTTGAGAGATAGCGCATGGGGAGGGCTGGAGAGAACGTCCCAAGCAGACCCGACACTAAGTGTGGATGGAGCCCGGCGCAGGGCTTGATTCCAGCATCCTGAGATCACGACATGAGCTGAAACTCAGAGTCCGTCGCTTAATCAACTGAACCACCCAGGCACCCCTAAATGAATTTTTTCTAAAAATCTTGTTTGCTACGCTGACTGTAGAGAAATTGTTCTTGGAACAAGAGTGCAATTAATTTAGGATTTGGTGTTGGACAAATCAAAATCTGCTTCCTGCTTTTCTCCCAAGAGCCACATGACTTCTGACAAATGACTTTTCCTTCTCAAAACTCAACTCCAGTAACATGGAGATAACATCAAGGCCCTGCGCTGCTGTGGTGGGGATTAGAGCTGCTCCTACACACAGCACTTCACGCCAGCCTGGCACACACTGGCCCAGAAATCTATGAATGCCAACTCAGTTTTGTAGCAGGACATGCTTATTTTCTTGCTTTTCTGGGGTGGCACAAGGATGGGGGATGGAGAGGAGGCAGGAGAGTCCGATGAGGACCCAGAGGAGGGGACTGGACTGGAGTGGGAAACGTGAAGAACACGAGAGGCAAAGGGCTTGAGCAGAAAGTTGGAGAAGAAGGATGAGTTAAGTTTTGCATCTGTGCCAGGCTCCGTTTCTGTGTTAAACAGATTTTTCTCTTTGGAGATGAACTGCATCTCCACGCCTTGTGAGGTCACAGGGAATGATGAACGACTTGCCTTACTAACGTGCGCGGATGGGAACCTACTGTGCAGAGCTCCAGGTTCGCGGTACTCAGAGGGTGGTCCAGACGCTCTTGCGACCGTGAGCCCTGAGTCGTCTGTGGAATTGTTGGATCAATGGATTGTAGCCTGAAACTAACAGAACGCTGTGTGTTAACTTGAGTGAGGAACACGGGGAGTTAAGAAACTGTTAGCGGAATGTAAATCGAAGTTCAGTTCAGAAAGTGTTCAGAATCTGTGATTATGACTCGACAGAGTAGTTTTATGCCCGATGAATCTAATAATGAGCAGGAATGTATATCTTTGTATCTATTTGTTTTTTCCACTTCCCTAGGATTTCATTTTTTAAATTAACGTGTTTTCCTTGGCAATTCATTTTTGTCTTCACAGAACTAGAGGCCACAATAGTTGAACATTTAAAAAAAACTTGTTTTTTTACCATTGATCCTTTGGAAATTACTCTAGAAAATCATCTCAACTTTTCTACTGTTCTGCAGAAAAGTCATTATTCCACTTCCAAATGCTCTGAAGCACTAAGACTTGAAGGAACTCTTCAGTCTGAACCTTTGTTCCTAAAAACAGGCCAAACAGTTTGAAACAATTCTGGAATCTTTATTACTTGTAATGTTAAGCTTCTATGAGTACAAGAAAGAATTTTGAAGAATTTTCTGAAATATAGAAAAAATATGAACAGCAGGAAGGTGAGGCAATTAAAAAAAATCCACCTTGTAAAATATACATCTTTATGAGGTAGATCCATATATATTGATACAGAGAAGCCCTAGTGTAGCTTGTTGTAAAAAAACAAGTTGTAAACTGTCCTTGTAATATGCTGAATTTTAAAAACACTACTGTATGCACAGAAGAAAATGTGAACTAACAGAAAATAAATGACCAATCCTTACATCTGGTCACATTAGGCTCCCAGGCACAGTAATGTTCTTATGTTATGTATCTGCTGTGTGTTTGAATTAAAAAAAAATTTTTTTTGTATTTAAAATTTTTATCAGGAAGATATGACACCTTGTAATGAGAAAACAGATCGATGGGTTATGTTGAATAATTTACCTCTGCCATGTGTTGGTTATTAATAAACACACCAAATGTGCTAGAGAGAGGTTTTCATAAAAAGATAGGGGGAAAAAAATCATACAGCAGGGCCACTCCATTTCTGTATCTTTTTTTTTTTTTTTAAGATTATTTATTTATTTATTTGGCGGAGACCACAAGTAAGCAGAGAGGCAGGCAGAGAGAGAGAGAGGAGGAAGCAGTCTCCCTGCAGAGCAGAGAGCCCGACGCGGGGCTCGATCCCAGGACACTGAGATCATGACCCGAGCCGAAGGCAGAGGCTTAACCCCCTGAGCCACCCAGGCGCCCCTGTATCTTTTTTTTTAACCATTTGGGAGCCAAGTTCCATGTGCTATTTTGAAGTATATTTGTAATTCTGAGCATCCCCTTTCTTGAACAGAAGAAGGCTATTTCCATCTGAGATACTTGCAGAGAAATATGAAGGTCTTCCTACATTTCATTTCCCATTCCCTTCTCCCCATTGTGCAGGATAAATAGATGTCAGATGAAACATTTTCTTGAATTTGAAAGACCTGGTTGGCAGTCGGCAAAACTAGGATGAATGACTTGTTACAAATAAACAACATTCGTGGGATTAGGAAGCCTAAAAATCCACATCTGTCATCCTCAGTGAGGCAATAAACTACCGTATTTCATCAACTCTAGGACAACTTTATTGTGAGACACAGCATTATTTTATGGAGCACTAAGAAAGAAAAAAACACTGCCAATTCATTGAGCGCATGCCATCCATCAAAAGATGTATCCTGATTTCAAAGATGTAAATATGAAAAAAATGTGCATTTTGGCATCAACAGAATATTGTAATACTAATAACTGAAAATCTGCCATCTTGTCCAACATGATTACTTTAAGTAGAGCACTTTAAACTGCTTTGAACCCTGAATGTAATGGAAGAAGACGTAAACATTTTCAGTAGCACACCTTCAGTTTTTATTGACCTATGTTAAAAAAATAATAGGTCTTAAAAAGTCAGAACAGTAAAAGAATATGCAAAAGGGTATTTCTGTTTCTGGAAGGCTATACAAATATGCAAAAAGGAATAACTTATTTTTTTTGCATGTCTTCTTGTTTGTTCCAAATTTTCCCCCCAAACTTCATATTTAATGATACAAATGACTAAGGACCAGTTTAACAAATCATCTTTATGTATATATTACATGCTTTGGAATATAGATAGAAAATGTTCCAAAAAAGTTGTTCAGAAACTTCTCTATTCACAATATGAACATGAAACCTGTATAAAAGCGGGGAAGGGAGCACCTTTTATGGAATATTGAAGCAGAGTGAAGATGACAAAAAAGAGCAATCTAGAATACGGAAATTTTTTTGTTTTGTCTTTTTTTTAAAAAACACACTACAATAAACCATAGCTAATTAGTTCTTCGGAGTAAAGTATGAGGTAGTTTTAGCCTCATAATTAAATCTACTGCAGCTTGGAGTTTTTTGTTTTTGTTTTTTTTAATGACTAATCTTGTTTTTGTCATTTGGTGACTTAGAACCCACACCCCCCCCCCCCCCTCCCCCCCCCTCGCACACCCAACCCTCCCCCCAAGCTACTCCTAATAACTAATTACCGATGGTTTAT